GGCACTTTCTGTAGTTTATCTAACAGAAAAGACACTTCTTGCTATTGGGGTACTTTATCTCCTTTTGCTCCACACGGAAAGACTAATAAACCCCTCATCCTACTAACAAAATTTTCACCCTTCTGATAACACCGTATTTTAACCACTTTTATGGATCGTTTTGAAATACTTTTTCTATGTTTTTAATTGCTTTTAAGTACTTTTATCACGTTTTTCTAGTATTTGTAGTTTCTAGACTCTTTTCAGGAAACTTAGGGAAAAACTTAACAAAATGGATAGAAAACCAGATTTCAGCTCAGAGTCAAACTGTCAGAAGTTCACCCCTGATTGAAGGCCTTCTCACCGTCTGATCCAGCTCAAATTTGGAGACCTTAAAGATGGAAGTATCAGCTTTCCAGTGCACTTTATAGCTTGGCAATCCAACGGTTCAATCAAAAGATACGCGAAGAGCAAGATGTCCCGTAAACCAGCCGGCAAGCACTTCCACCCGCGGCCAACAAGCAATTTCCCGCGGTCAGGAGCAACCCGACAGCGGCAAACCACTCATTCCCCGCGGTCAGAGCAATCCCGACCGCGACCATCAACCTCCGAGCCCAAAAGCCCATTTCTGAAGCCCACAATGATTCCCTCATTTGGAGAAACCCTAAGTGTCCAGAGAGGTCTTGAGCACTATAAATACATGTCTTAGGAACCCTAATCCATCATCATCTATCTTTCTTATTGTTTTAGAATACTTTTAAGTTTTAGGTTTTAGGGAGAGAGAGATTTGTTCTTTTGAACCCTTGTTCTTTCTTTTTCAATTTCGGTTTCTATTCTACTTCTTAATACTATGTCTTTGATTTCGTTCATTATGTCTGAGTAGTTTTATTGTTGGGATTAAGGGATTTTCGATGGGGATTTATATTTTCGATGAGGATTCCATGAGCTTTTGAGCCGAATCTTAGAACTTTTTCTTCTGAATTCGTTTTTACTGCATGAGAGTAGCGTCATGAACTACAATCTGATCCAGATGCTTGGTGACACGAAAGTGTTCATCAGGTATCATATCTAGTTTGGGAGAGCAAAACAAACATAGGAGTGGAAACCTACCTATGGGCGATTTGTGAATTAGGACGAGTCTTAAACATAATGCATCTCTTCTCTTCCAGGGCCAGAGTGGAAACCTACTGGTCAGGGTTGAGAGAGATAGTTGTCTACGATCACAACAGTGGCGTATTCATACGTCCGTGACTCCAGTTCGAAAAGTTTAAGCTAGATCTTACAAAATTTCCTCTCTAGCAATGTTTTGAATCGTTCGTACCCCTGAGAAAACTTCCCTGAATCCCAACGCTTTCTTTTCCATTGATTTACATCGATTTTCTTTAAAGCTTTAGTTCAATATTGCCTTTCCTTTTTAGTTCATTTTCATTTAAGCATTAGAATATCCCTTTTTATCATTTTTAGTCATTTTCATTAAGTTTAGTTATTACGTCATTTAATTCTCGTATTCTCTTTTAATATTTCGTTTTTACATTTTAAACACACTACCAAACCTCTACTAAACCGTTTTTGTTCTAGACTTCCTTACTTTAACTTATTTCAAAGGCTTTTTGCAGGAAAAGATCCTCCTTCCCTGTTGATTCGATCCCTAAGTACTACAATTGATCAGCTGTGCACTTGCGGCTAATGATTTCAATTAGGGTAAAACTTGACACCCACAGCACACACCACATCACCTTCCCTGTTTGGTTTTTTTACCACAGTTATTATACTTAAATATGGCAATGTTCTCCGAGAAGTTATTACCGGAAACATTTTTCCGGCCGTTGTTCACCGAGAACTTATTACCGGAACTATGAATTTGAAATTGGGTAAAACTTAATTGCCGGCGGAATGAAATTCAGTTTTGGAGTAATATATAATGCGGCGGATGTGAAGGAACTAGCGAAATGCGGCGGATGTTAAGCAAAAAATTGGTTGGGAAAAAAGTTTCGAATGAATTAGTTGAAGACGTCAATTTGGGATTATATTCGAACAATCGTTCCTTGTTTGTCCTTTATATTTGGCTTGGAAGTTTGCACATGTGAGATTATGTAATTCGGTGGATTTCTTCGATTTCCGATATCTTGGTCGAAGACTTACAGAAAAGGATTTGCCGTAAGATGTTGTGGACGAAGAGGATGTGGATACAAGATTCAGACGATACTTACAGTGATGTAGTGGATACAATTCCATGGATGTGTTTGAAAAAAATATGTAGGGGGACCCACATTTAGTTTACGTATGCGATCATGGCCGTTCCTTTTGTACGCCTGCATTAAATTATCTCGATCGTGCGCCTAATCTTGCTTTGGTAGGTAAACATCAATTCGTACAGCTGAGCAACATTGTAAAGACTAGGTTTAAGCTTGTTCCCAGTTTAGCAGACAAGTTCGGCGCTGGCGGACATAGCTCTTCGAGGTTTCCCGTTTTCAACTATTGTGTTTAGTTCGCCATGGATGGTGTATTCGTGGACATGGTAGTAAATGAATATTTTTATTCATTGCAGGTATGGATGAACATTGCCTGGTTATCAGTGGCGAGTGGATGCGTTCGAGAGAAGGTCTATGGGATTTTGTTGTGGACAAGCTGAAGATGTCGAGGGTTGTACCTGTGAGGACAGGAATGAGTATTGAGCAGCTTAAGAAAAGCGTTCTGAATGAGTTTTTTGACGATGGAGGTGAAGGTGTAAGCGTAACGTTAAGCTACTGGCCTCCTAATAGCAATGAATTGGCGACAGACATTTCTACTCCTCCGGTGATGGTGACAAATGAAGGTTCCATAGGTTATTTCCTTAAACATTTCCGCGTTCAACAAAATGTAAATCTTTTTGCAAGGTTTGTTGGAGAACAGAGAAAGTTTGGGAGAAGCGGTTTAGAAGGTGGTAGCAGTGTTTTAAAAAGTCCGGTAACGAAACGGAGCAAGACGAGTGATTTTTTTGGTCTAAATTCTGGGTACAAAACACCTTTCCCGGCGAGAAGAGGCCCAGGTGATTACGAGACAGGGGGTTTTTTATGTTTCAAACTTCTCTGAGTACCCCTGGTAATGGTCTGACAAGTGGGGAGGGTTCACACGTTTTGTTTAAAGATCCAGTTGTGTCTACTATGCCTGACTTTTGTAAAGATGAAGTTTCGTGGAATGGGCGTAAAGTTGGTTTTATGCCGACAAATCCGGACGCTTAAATGATACAATCGGCGGGGATTTCAGAGGATAGTGCTGGTAGCGTGATTTAAACGCTAGTTGGGGATTGCTACAAAACTTCAACCTGCGTTGAGACATACCAAGGTGTTATTAACCCGGAGGCTAGCCCGAATGATGTTGAGATACCTAGCTACAGATCTTAGGGACACAGTTTTGTTTCCACCTAAAACAAGGAGGCCATCTGGGCGTCCAAAGGAGTTGCGTATACCATCTACTGGCGAGATTCAGGTACTTCAACAATGATGTGGACTTGAACTGTAATTTATAAGAAAACAGTGCTAACACAAACCTTTAATCCGTGATTATGTTATTCACTATTTTATGGTCAATATATACAGGGTAGTAGGCCGAAGAAAGCAGTGCCTAACAAGTGTGGGAGGTGTAGAATGTCAGGGCACAATCGCAGCAGCTGCACAAATCCTATTTAGAATTGTTTAAGCTTTTATTTGTAATGAGTTTTGCAGTTTTGTTGTTGTCGTTGAATGTTTTTGAGGAAGAACAACACACTGTTTTGTAATTCTGGCGGTTTCTGCAGATGTAATGACTTCTCTGGATCTGGTTGCTGTTGGCGTTGATTGTTTTTGGGAGCGCACAACAGTGTGTGGTTATTGGTCTATGGATACTTCATTGACTTTGCATTTAAGTGTTTTGATTTAATTTCCATGATTTCTTTTTATAGGTCTTTGTTTGGTTTAAATTTTCATATCAAATTAACTAAGTAATGAATATGTATCTCCAAATTGACGGATGTTAAAGTGGGCGGGGACTTGTAAAAATTAAAGGGCACGCATCCACTTAAATGTTTGCGTCCCCTTGAAGCATAGATGCTGTGTATGGACGGTAGAACATGGATACACATTGTAATTTTTTAATTACCAAAATACCCTTGTATTAGATTTAGAGTGCATAAGACTATAAGTAGTGTCTCTGTATCTTTAAAAATAGTTTCTAGAACGGCGCATATTTTAGCTACTCAGCGAAAGACAGCATGGTCAGCTACAGCAAAAATTCGTCTTCTCGAGCAAGCTTGAATTCGTACTATAATGGTTTGTACGATGAGGAGATACCAAAGAAGTGCCGTTGTGGAAAGCCGCCGTTGTTGGACACATCAGAGACTATAGACGATCGGGGTTTGAAATAAATAGCTCGTGGATTGTAAGCGCCAAGACAACGTTCAAAGAATGGGCGGTAAGGGCTGTTTGGGGAGACGTCGAGAGGTGACTCAACCAATCGAGAGATGTCTGCAGACCGTAATACGTCGTCGGTGAACGCGATGGCTCTTCCACGTTTTCCTGCACGAAAAATGGAGCCAAGATGGTAGGAGTCATCCTCAGCTAGTTTTTTTACTATTAACCCTAAAACATCATCGTCTAAGTAGTGCATTGTTGTTTAAGTGTGCGGAAAAATAAATTTGATTCGATTTATTCGATTTATTTGTAGACAGGGTGGATAGATATATAAATGTCCTAATTCGTGGTTGGTATAAAGTTAAGAGACGTTTCAATAACTGCTAAACTGACCCGAACAAGTCGTACATTATAAAGGAAACTGGTTTCGGGCACTTTAATAAAAGTGAACTGACCATTATTCTTAAAAAAATGCTGGTTAGAAAATGGTTAGGTGAAAATTTTACTTTTTGACAGAACATATTATATTATTTTCACCCGTATCATAAATTCTCCACCCTCCAACCACACACCAGTGAAGTCCATATATGACGATTTTGCTTTGTCTTAACTAAACTTGCCTTCTTTCTTACAAAAACAAACCCTCAACCAATCTTATTTCCAAACATGACTCTCCCAAACTTGCCTGATGAAATTCTTCTCAAAATTGTGAAGAGGGTCGGCAGTGAAGCATTTTGGCGACTTGACCCATTTGTCTGTGCAGGAAAGCGCACACTCCGGCTTGTTTTCACCGACGATGTCCTCAAATCTTGCAACATTTCTGCCCTTTGCTGTGTCTCCGGCGACATATGCCCTCGAAACAAAAGACGCCCATTCTTTCTGAAATGTTTGGCGAGTGGAAACCCTGAGGCAAGATACTGGGAAGGCCTGAGACTTGCGACCCGAGGCGCCGATCTCATTGCAAGTAGGAGCATGATGGAAGAAAATATACCCATCGATGCTCTCTCGACCCTGGCGTCGGCCATGTTCAGCGTTTGCTAGGGTGACCCTTGTTCCGCAAGTTAAACATTGCAACTGTTGGCAACCAATCACGGAAGTCTACAGTCAGAGCGTGTGCGACAATTAGGTGAGGAGTTAATTCTTGAGATTTCATAGTTCGGTACCGCATACATGGTAACGTACTTAGACTCGTTTTCATATCCAAACGACGACGTTATCAAGCCGCCTGATTGTGCATTTGATCATTATGAACCTGAATTCCGAATACTTTGCAATGGTTGCTTCATATATTGGTGTGCTAGGCGTATCTACGAAATGCTTTAAAAATATGTTTATGGTGTACACCTTTCCGAGTGTACACAACTATGTGTATACTATATGAAGTGTACACCTATATTTCATTTATATTATGTAATGGCGAATCTTTCAATTAATATTCGATGACTTATGTTTTATATCGGATACTTATTAACGTAATTATTAACGAAAATAACAAATGCTTCCACAATTTATCAAATCCTAAACAACTAAAGCATAAATCAATAAAAAAATTTAATAAAGTCACAAAAGTTCGGCAAAAGACGCTAACAAAATTCACGACCAAATTTAAAATAAATAATTAAGTCAAAATTAAATAGTGTTCATATTTTTTCCCAAAGAAAAAGAACAATTCAACATAACATAAATTGAGTTTTCATTATTTAAATAAGTAGACGACTTCATGTTCCGGCGTGGTCCACCGTCCATGCAAGTGCAGTGGTTTCAAAAGCAGCCCTATCTTCCACGTAAATTCTTGCAATTTCTTCAACAAAAAATTGTCATTCACTTATTTGGGGGGCAGTTAACATTTGGTGTATTTCAGTGAGTACCTGATTACATAGAGATGTAAACACACTTAAGCCCTGATTTCATCAAAATTAAGACTAATTAAGCAAAAGACAATAACGATTTCTTTCTTTCATAAGTAAAAATATATCATTAATGCTGTTGTTGGTCTTGAAGTGAGTTGGGTTCAACATCTTAAGAAAAATGTTCCCGTAAGTATTCACGTTTAGGTAATACACTTTTGTTTTGAACGTCACCTGCAAGAACACAGTGTTATTAGGAATTGAAATCTTTATTGAAGGTATCCCTAATTAAAAATACAGAAAATTGAGACAGCAATCATATGCTTCATTCCTTACCCTCGGTGGCACGAAGGGGTACTCAAGCGAAAAGTGAATGTCTAGTTTGAAAACCCCATTCTCATAGGGTGCCTTTAGGCCCCATTAGGATAGCTTCCCAGTGATACAAGTCCTCACCAACAGGTCCTAATCAAATCGGCAAAACACTAATTAAGTAGACGATGTGAAAGACCGAAACTGTTAAACATTAACCAATCCTCAAAAGCTAAAACTTAAAAACTACCCTATTTTCAAAAGAACCCTCAAATACCTGTACTGAAACATGAACTTTTTTTCCTCTCCACATCCTTCAATTGCAATGAGATCACTTTGGAGGAGTACATTTTTAGGAAGTAACTATTAATTTTGGTATTTAACTTTTCCTATCTCCCAAAACTTGTTTGACTGAAGAAGGATGGGACAGTTTTTATAGAGGACGAGAGGAAAAACAGTTTTAAGAGATGACAAACGAGACGGTCAATGGTGCCTACAAAAAAAATGGGTTTCTAAAAAGGTACTTAATTAGTTTTTGTCGTTTCGTATTTGATTTTTTGCGTTTATTCTTCATACACTATTTTCCAATATAGCGGTTTTTCAAAAACGTAATGAATTAATATTTTGAAAAAACCGTTTATTCGTGTTGTTCTATCCTACAATTTCTTTTCAGGGACACGATCATTGTCTGTTTTGTCGATAATGTTTTGGAATTTTCTCTCTCTGCTATAGAACCATGTCTTTTACTGCATTATTACGATCCCCTAAACAAGAGAACCCTAAACCCTAAATCGTAAACCATAAACCCTAAAACTTAAACCTAAGCCATAATGTGCGTACACCTATATTAATATGCGTACACCATATAATGTTTACTGATTCATTTTGTCCACCGTGCCTACCGTACACAAAATGTGTACACCTTGTCCAGTGTACATCATAAAATTGATAACAAATATAACATAATTTCATGCTTTGGCAGTTTTAAATAAAATAACGTATTTTACGCAAGGAAACAAAATCCAAAAACCAAAGCGAGATCCACCCACAAAAACCAACAACACCCCCGCAAAAACCAAACCAACGCTCTTTCCAAACCCAACAAAAGCCACACCCGGTCAACCCAATGGTTCCTTGCATTTTGCCCGGTTGTGTCCGGGATTTCCACATCTCGAGCATTTGTTTGGCTTCTTCTTTTTCGCAACCTGCAACAGCGTATATCAGTAAACAATAATATTATGATTGGGGAAAAATATTTGTTTAGGTGTATACTAACCTGAAGATACTCTCCTGCTGAAAGTTTTCTCTTTGTCGTAGGCCTTCCTGATTAACGTTTTGTCTTTGGTGACATAATATTCAGGTCACGCACCTCAGCAGAGATACGAATGTCGTCAGGGTCGGGCACTAGTAGGATTTTGCCACTAAATTTTTCACTCCAAATTGATTTCTTAAGAATTGGATCAACCAAACTGCTGTACTCCACTTGACGAAACCTAGCCGCGGCCATTGCATGTCGGCAAGGGTATTTCAATGTCTGAAACTCTAGACACGTGCATGTTTTGTTTAGAAGATCTACATGCCGCCGTACACCTATGAACTCAGAACTGACTTCAACCTCCCACGCAAAAATGCCTTGAAGCGATAGGGCAGCAGATTTTTCAAGCTGCAGGTTCATTAACTTGTCAACTTCTGGAATGTCACCATCAATCTTTTGAATTTTCTCTCTTCTGCATTCAATCCACCTACTTAACATTCGCCTGATAAATTCTAGCATTGCAACGATTGGACTGTCTCTTGCTGCAAATAGTGCATTGTTCAGAGACTCCGCAATGTTACTGGACGTCATATTATACCTCTGACCAGAAAAGTGTGATCTAGTCCACAGCGCAAGAGGGATTTTTTCCATGTACTCCCAACAACTATAATCAACATCCTTCAGCCTTGCATATAGTCTCTTGAAGTTAGAAACTGTGAACGCTTCTCCTGCCTTTCCGATCAAACCTTTCTGACCGGAACCTTTGTATTTAGCGTGAACATTTCTCTGGATATGGACATGACATGCACCGTGGTGTGCGTGTGGATACCAGTCCTTTTTAGCTTTGGAAATTCCACCGTGCCTATCCGAGATAATAGTAAGCTCAGAGGAATCTGGAATAATGTCTACCAACTTCTCAAAGAATCACCTCCATGTCCACTGGCTGTTAATTGGAAAACGGCGAACGCAATTGGAAAAACCTGGTAATTAGAATCTTGTCCACTGGCTGTGAATAGACAACCCTTATACTTACCAATCAGGTGCGTTCCATCAACAACAACTACCGGTTTCAAATGTTTCCATCCAAAAATACACGCAGCCAATGCCATAAATATGGACTTAAACCTTGTCATACCTTTTTCATCTCTCTCAGTTGACAAATGTGTTATGGTGCCGGGATTAGCATACTTGAGCACATGGAGGTAAATCGGTAATAATTTGAAAGAAGTCTCCTCTGTTCCGTGCGCAGAGTATATAGCCAGCTCCTTAACTTTCCAGCATTTCCAGCAAGAAGCTGTAATATTATATTCGGAGATAACAATTGCAGGTAGCTCACTCGCACGTGGACAACCTATTGTGTTCTCGTACTTAGACTTCAGCAAGGCTGCCATGACTTTACCAGTCGCATGCTTAGAAAAAAAGTTTTCTTGTATCCGGGTGGCATGTATGCTTCAAGCACACCTTCCTCACCTCATACAACGCAGAGTCGCCAGCTTGACACCCCAACACCCCCCAATCACATATCTTTGCTGGTCATTCCGCGACTGTGTACTTCTTCGCATGCCTTTTGAATTCGAACGTCACTACCTTCTTCAGCGCATAGATGGCCAACGTAAATTTAAAGTGTTCCTTGTTTCTGAACTTTTTCCCAACCCATATCTCTCCATCTTCATTTGACAAATCAAGATCATCGAAATCCCCTTGCATATCATGGTGCCACATCCAGAAATCCATATAGCTCTATACGTTTAATCGCTTTCTTCAATTCTGCACCGCCATTCTGACGCCCCCAAACGACATCACTAGGAGGAGTCTCCACAAAATCATTATCATCATCTCCATGGGGAGCCATAATCGGTTTCTCACATACAGTCCTCTTTCTTCCAGGAAAATGAATAGGACTCTCCGTTAAGACATTTGAGTAGTCCATATGGTTTGAGTCACTCGGCTCACTTCCGCGACTACTTCTAGAACCCCCTGAACTACCAGAGTCATCGTTATCCTCATCAAATGCAGGCTTAGAATGGAAACCATTTCCATCTGCTAGTACGTAATCATTCCACCAGTCAAAATCATAATCCAGATCATAATCATACTCAGAGCTGTATGCATCATCGTCAACATCATCAGCTTCCTTCTCTTCCGAATCTCTCGCCTCGTCTGATTCCTGGGACATTTTTAATTCCAACTCAGGGTGGTCAACAGAGGCAGCGTTACTTGGAACATATGGTTGTACAGATTCGGAGGTGTTCATGGTGGCTTTAGCCTCTACTTTCTCGTCTGATTCCTGGGACATTTTTAATCCCAATGTAGGATGGTCTACAGAGATAGCTTTAGTTAGAACATTAGGTTGTGATAACACCGTATTTTGACCACTTTTATGGATCGTTTTGAAATACTTTTTCTACGTTTTTTATTGCTTTCAAGTACTTTTATTACGTTTTTCTAGTATTTGTAGTTCCAAGACTCTTTTCAGGAAACTTAGGGAAAAGCTTAACAAAATGGATAGAAGACCAGATTTTTAGCTCAGAGTCAAACCGTCAGAAGTTCACCCCCGATTGAAGGCCTTCTCACCGTCTGATCCAGCTCAAATTTGGAGATCTCAAATATGGAAGTATCAGCTTTCCAGCACACTTTACAGCTTGGCAATCCAACTGTTCAATCAAAAGATATGCAAAGAGCAAGATGTCCCGTAAACCAGCTGGCAAGCATTTCCACCCGCGGCCAACAGCCATTTCACCACGGTCAAAGACTTCTCGACCGCGGCCAACCATCCATTCCCCGCGGTTACGCACTTCCCGACAGCGGCCAGCCAACTCCGAACTCGAAGGCCCAATTCTGAATCCCAAATCATTTTCTCAGCCTCAATTCCGGAACCCTAGACACCAGAGAGCATTGGAGACTATAAATACTTATCATCTAGATTGTTTTTAAGAGAGACGAAATACTTTACAATAAATTTTACTTTAAGCTTTTGTTTTTAGGTTTTAGGGAGAGAGAGAGATTTTCTCTTGAACCTTTGTTCTTTCTTTTCCAATTTCGATTATTGCTCTACTTTTTAATACTATGTTTTTGATTTCGTTCATCATGTCTGAACAGTTTTATTATTGGGTCTAAGGGATTTTCGATGGAGATACATGTGTTCGATGAGGATTCCATGAGCTATTGAAACCGAATCTTAGAACTTTTTCTTCTGAATTTACTTTTACTGCATGAGAGTAGCGTCATGAACTACAATCTGATCCAGATGCTTGGTGACACGAAAGTGTTCATCCGGTGTCAGATCTAGTTTGGGAAAGCAAAAAAAACATAGGAATAGAAACCTACCTATGGGCAATTTGTGAATGTTGACGAGTCTTCAACATAATGCATCTTTTCTTTTCCAGGGCCAGAGTGGAAACCTACTGGTCAGGGTTTAGAGAGATAGTTGTCTATGATCACGACAGTGGCGTATTCATACGTCCATGACTCTAGTTCGAAAAGTTTAAGCTAAGATCTTATCAAATTTACTCTCTAGCAATGTTTTGAATCGTTCATACCCCGGAGAAAACTTTCCTGAAACCCAGCGCCTTCTTTTCTATAGATTTACATCGATTTTATTTCAAGCTTTAGTTCATCATCTTCATTCTCTTAATCGATTTTCATTTAAGCAATTAGGTTTAGTCGTTTTTCTCGTTTTTAGTAGATTTCATTACGTTTAGTTATTAGGTCATTTTAATTCTCGTATTTTCTCGTTAAGACTATTTTTTACGTTTATAGACACCACCAAAACCCTCACAAAAATCGCCTGGTTCTAGACTTCCTTACTTTATATTTCTTTCGAAGGCTTTTGCAGGAAAGATCCTCTTTCCCTGTGGATTCGATCCCTAAGTACTAAAATCGATCAGCTGTGCACTTGCGGCTATTGATTTCATTTAGGGTAAAACTTGACACCCTCACCACACGACACATCAGGTTGTACACCTTTGAATGTATTCATTGCGGCCTCAGCCTCTACATTCTCGGCATGCGCTATCAGCAAACAATCATCGATATCTTCATCATCTGCTTCATCATCGGGTTGACTAGACGCTGCCAAAGAAGAGGCTTTTGCCGTTCCCTAGCAATTTGAACTTCAAGACTTTCCTTCCGTTTCAATCTCACCATTTCACCATTTACTGACTCCTTGAATGTGACAAATAAATTCACAGACTTATCTGACTTATGCAGCGAACGGAAGAATTTGTACTCTCGAGGAGTAACTATCACACATGGACAACTCCCGTCACCATTAAGCTCAGCTAGAACATCATCAAACCAGTAGGACATCTCCACTGAAACAACTCTCGGGTCTAATCCGAACTCATGCGCAATCAGATTTCTCAAATCCTCTGGTCCGGACACATCTTTGCAATTTATGCACCTTCCATTTTGAAATCCCAATCTCCTGTATAGTACCTTATCCACGTTCCCCCCATCACGAGAATGAACGCATCTATCGCAAATCGCGAACACCATATCTAAAACATTACTGGCAAATCGCAAACACTAGAACTAAAATTCGAATATAACTATGAAAATCTATGGGTGTACAAGGATAGGATTAAGTAACTAACCGTGGTTGTTGTCCTCTTGAACATCGCTTAATTTCTCCTTCAATTTCAACATCTTCTCGAAAGGGAAACTAGGGTTTCCAATTTGGTTTGGTTACTTTGTTTCTTATTTTCACTCAATTTATCTCCATTATCTCTAATTAACCACAATTTTTCCCGCCAAAATAAAATGGATGGGTAGTTTTGCTTGTAATGGGTTGGGTACTTTTGCCATTGTTTCCGACCCATAACCAAAGCCCAGTATGCTAAGATGGTTTTTTGGAAAATTGATTCCCAAATTCGAAAAACAGGCCCACAAAACATATATTCGGGCGCGTGAGTTTCTCTCTTCTCGGCTGTTACGTGCGCGGACTCTCTCTACTCATGGGACCCACATTATTTTCTGCGTCTGTCTCTCTCTCTTCCTCTAAGAAACAATGGTAAGTTTATGTTTATGAAAGGATGTCCCTATCTAGACTAATTAAAACTCAAACTACCCATTCCTCAAATAAAAACTTAAAAACTACCCTATTTTCAAATGAACCCTAAAAACAACTCAATCCTTCTTTGGTTTTCAAAACTACATATTCCTCTAATTTAAAACTTAAAAACTACCCATACAGCAATTTTCTCATATTATAATTAAGCAATACAAAGATGGCATTAAAACCAAATGCAAATAACCATAGGTTGCATATCAGTTATACATGGAAATGAAAATTGTAGAAAAACAAAAAGAAAATATTGATTTCTTGTAACATATAGCTCCATTAGTCATAAATATGTGCTTCAACTGAGAATATCATTATTACAAACCATGCATGTAGTGTCTCTGCAAGTTCTTGTAATTAGAAATTTTGCTTTTGACAATTCTCCATTCCTACACTTGTTTTTGTTTTTCACCAAGTGGCCCATTACTACAAGCCTGACGTGTAAAAAATCAAAGTAAAAGCCATTGGATATTGATCGACATATGACTATTTCACAAACAATTGTACAAAACTTCGCAAGGGGAAGCCAGATTCGTTCAAAGCTTTATAGGCAATGTCTATGTAAGCAACAAAAGCTAGAAATAATATACACATGGTGCAAGATTGAAGTGTTTGGACCCAATAGAAGCTGCCTAAGCGAAGAGAGAAAAAGAGATATGAAAATCATAAAATTATTCGACAAATCTCTGATCAGAATGAGAGATATACCAAAGATGTTCGGAGGAGATTCTTAGTGAAGAAATAAAGCCAATTGCAGTCGAATGACTCTTGAAATTTTAGAGTTTTATCGCATAACATCTTCACAAACCTTCAAGTTCCGTCTGTAGCCCCGAGCATATGGCATAAAGGCGAGAAATTCAAAGACATGAAAAGAAGGGGATTGACCAAAAAAAAGAAGGGAGAAATCCCGGAGAACATACCTAAAGTTTCTCTTAAAGAAAGAATAAAACAAAGGAGGAATGAAAAGTATCTCTATCATACATGCACAAGAAACGTTGATAATAAATGCTATAGAGAAAAAGATGAAGATGTGTAGCGAAGTTGAGAATTAAACATAAACGATTCAAAAAGTATAAGTATAAATGACACATTTAAATTATTTATTATTTTATTTAGATATATGTCACTTTCTCCAATGCTGACATGGCAAGTAATTGGAGAGAGTTTGTCATCTTTTATATATAAGATGACTAGTGGGTTAACCATACGCGGTATTTAGAATTACTGTTTATACTTGACGTAATTAGAAAATTATTTGACAATAATAAAATTTAATATATCGCAAAAAATAAAACTTTAGTAATAATTCAATATATCTTACACTTAGACATCTAATGTTCATAACTAAACACAAATCAAACCAATTATTGAATTTGGTTTACATATCTGGAACAATTAACTCCTATGAGAACAGTTATATTTCACACAATAAAAAAGGAGAATAACATTCTAATTAGGAGTTCAAAATCCACATTAGAGAATAATTGATACATATACTTCACTATTCCCAAATATAACTCATTTGACATTAATTTCATTTTGAAACATATGACATGTTTTCAAGAGGCACTTATAATCTCTATCTTGCTTTTGCTATCTCTCACTCTCTCTCTCTCTCTCTTTCTCACATATATAAACACTCATCAACGCGATAAATTAAACCATAAGCCTTCACTATCTTTTTCAGATTTTTCTCTTTTTTTTTGGCGAGTTTTGATGTCTTTTTTCTGACTTAACGTTCATGAATTTTTATGAGGACCTAAAACGTTTGCGTCTCAATGATTGGCTTGACAAAGTTATTATTTTGTGATACCACAATTTGCCTCTCATAATCAAAAATTCAGAGTTGTCACTCAAGTTTTTTAAAGCTCTTGTGAGTATTCTTATTCCCGGCTCCATGTCCAGACAACAATTTTCTAAGTATCAAAATTACAACAATTTTTTAATTGATTCTCTATAACTCACTTGTAATCAACCAACAATCTTTTTATTGATTCTCTATAACTCACTTGTAATCAACCAACATAGCGCAAACGTTGTCCTATAAAACAATTAATTAGTAAAACAAATTCTAACTATAAAATATTCAAGTCTCTCTCTCTATCTATCTCTTTCTCTAATACACACACTCATCAACGTGGTAAACTAAACCATAAACCATTTTTTGGCATGATTTAAATATAACATTCACTATTTTTCTCTACTTTTTCTCCTTTTTTGTGAGTTTTATGGTCTTTTTTCTAACTTGGCGTTGGAGAATTTTTGTGAGGAATTAAATCGTTCGTCTTCTCAATGATTGGTTTGATAAGGTTATCATTTTGGTATACCATAATTTGCTTGTCATGGTCAAAATATATTGAGTTGCCTTTCGAGTTTCGAGAAACTCTTGTGAGTATTCTTTTGTTCAATAATTCCCGTCTTTGTGCCCAAACACAATTTTTCTAACAATCAAAATCCATTATTTTATTAATCTCCTATAACTCACATTTAATCCTTATTAATTGTTTCAGATTATATTTCAAACATTTTTTTGTTTTTTAGCGAAAAAGTTGTATTCATAGTTTATAAACACTAAACGCTATATTTTTGTAATAAACTGATGAAACTAAAATTATTAAAGTGGAGTTTAGTTAGATTAATAATAAATTAGCTATTTTTATCAAATACATGTATTTTTAAATTCTAGATTATATTAATGCATAATAGTTTTATGAGCATTAAAGTATAAATATATAAAATACAATAAATCAAATAAACAACTTAACACTAACAAATAAACTGATGATGTGTCATAATTTTAAGCTATGAGTTGATGATGTGGTTTAATGAGAAGAGAGTTTATTCTACTTTATATATTTGTAATGTATTTGGTTTTGTTATCTTGATTTTATGTTTTATTTTAGACTTTGTTGTTTTATTCTTTGTACTGAAAATTTGGTTATATATATTATTTGAATTTATGATTGATATTGATATCTTAATTTCATATTTAATTTTTGGAATTAACTAAAATTTGAAATTAATTTATTTGTTGAAATTAAATTAATTAATTTTTATTACCATTGTAGAAAAATCATAGGAAATAGTTCATAAGAAAATGGTAGCAAATAGTTCATAGAAAAATAGTAGGAAAACGGTTGGAAAGTTTCTACGATTGTTTCAAACTCCGATTCGTATTTTCATAGAGATATCTACACTACACTTCTCTTAACTCCAATATAGTTTTATATTCAAACACTTGTCTTTCTTATTATTGTTCTTTAAATCACTTATAAAAAATGAAATGTATAATCCAACTCACTCCACAATATTTATGAGCACTGGCAAGCGACAAAAAGAGTCCCTCGATATCTATCAGGAACCCCAACACATGGCCTCTTCTTCAGCAAGTTTAATCTGCTAGCACTTCACACATTCTTCGATGCCGATTGGGCTGGAGACTTCGATGATTTGGTGTCGACGAATGCTTACATTGTGTATCTTGGGAAACATGTAATTTTTTTATCTGCGAAGAAACAAAAGCTGTTGCAAAATCATCTACTGAAGCTGAATATTTTTCTGTGGCAAATACAGCATCTGAGCTCAATTGGGTATGTTCCCTGCTCATGGAACTTGGCATTCATCAACACAAACCACCTGTTATATATTGCGACAACATAGGAGCCACCTATCTATGTGTGAATCCAGTTTTCCATTCGATGATGAAACATTTGGCCCTCGATTATCACTTCATATGTGATCAAGTTCAAGACAGCAAGTTACAGGTAGCTCATATTTCATCAGACCAGTTGGTGGATTGCCTCACTAAACTATTAAGTCGAGCTCGGTTTACACTTCTGCGTGACAAGATCGGCGTTACCAAAGGCCTTGATCTAGAGGGAGGATATTAATGATATGAAGATATGATCAAGGAAGATTTGATTAACTCAATTCTCTCCGTCATATCATCCTCATTTACTGTACAAATATCTACATGTGAAACGCTCTGTGTATAAATGTAATCGATCTCTCAATAATGAAAATCAATCATTCTCATTCTCTTTACACAAAAGCATTCTCGACTCTTTGAGCAATAACTTTCTCTTTATTGTTCAAAAATCCTTTTTATCTTATTAAAAATAAATCAAAGTTTTTATATTTGTACTATTTACAAAATTTTGAAGGGGAAAAATGCCAAAAAAAAAAATTGAAATCATAACTTTCAGCCAATAATAAAAAAAATAACTGGTGCTTTTTTAGCTGAAAGTGTGATATCATTTTTGGCATTTTTCTCAATTCTGAAGGTGGTATTTTTAGCTATACAAGTTGCTCTATATTTCTGGTATCTAAGAAAATGTTTTAAAATGGTTTTTTTTTTTAAAACAAAAAAAAAAAAAATCAAAATGTATGTCCAAGGCTCCAAGCTATCAACTCGTCTCATCGCTGTCTTAGAAATCCAGGCTCCGACCCGGGTCCACCCGTCACGGAACCGAATACCCCTTTTGACTGCCAGAGAAATCTCTGCATACATTTTCCTTCACTTTCCCGGTAAAGTAGCCGAGAAAAGTAGGGAAAGAGAATGTACTCGGCGATTCGTTCGTCGCTTCCGCTCGATGGCAGCATGGGAGATTATTCCGACGGAACTAATCTTCCCATCGACGCCTGCTTGGTCCTAACCACTGACCCAAAGCCCCGTCTTCGCTGGACGTCGGAGCTCCACGAGCGATTCGTCGACGCCGTCACCCAGCTCGGCGGACCCGACAGTAAGTACACTTGAAATTCCCTGGATCTTCGGATATAATGTGGTTTTGACTGTTTTTTGTTTTCCTTCGCCGGAGTCGCTTAAAGTCTTCTTAGGGTTTGTTTTATGAATAAAATGAGTCTTGGGTCTGTTTAGGTTTGTTAATTACAGATTTTGATATTAGATTCTCTCAAGTTTAGATCCTCGAATAATGGATGCTTTTCTTTGGGTTGTTGTCACTTTGAACAAATTCAATCTGCACATGCCAAGATTTGTGTCTTTTGTGCTCTTGCCAAGATTTGTTTGCAAGATGAATTTGGGATTTGCTTAGTTTTACTCTCTCTCTGTTTGTTTTGATTACAGAAGCAACGCCCAAAACGATAATGAGAACGATGGGAGTGAAAGGTCTCACTCTCTACCACTTGAAATCTCATCTTCAGGTTTGATGATACTCAACAATATCAATTTTATGGTTGATTAGTTACTTTATTTGTTTACCCGATTACATAAAACAAGCTTTTGATTGTGCTGTTTTCTATGTTATGTGGCTTTTTTTTGCTCGGTAGAAATTCCGCTTGGGGAGGCAATCCTGCAAAGAATCAACTGAAAACTCTAAGGATGGTAAATTCATTTAATTTTCCACTTTTTTTTTTCCATGGATTCAGCTTATGAACTTATCATCTCTGCAGTTTCTTGTGTTGCGGAGAGTCAGGACACAGGTTCATCTTCAACATCATCATTAAGATTGGCTGCGCAGGAACAGAACGAGTACGGTTACAAGTGGTCGTCTCTTCGTGCCCGGTTTCTTAAACTAGTGGCTGTGAATGTTCATTGTATGAACACTCCTTGTTTTGTTTTGTTTTCGTGAGCCAGGAGTTACCAGGTCACTGAAGCTTTGCGTGCTCAGATGGAAGTCCAAAGAAGACTACACGAGCAATTAGAGGTTAGCTTTCATTGCTCGGAGAGACTGTAATTAGTGAGAGACTCTCTACTCTCAACCAAAATGTCCAACCAAACAATGTAGACATCATTATAAACTCATCTCTCAATACTTGCTCTCTAACTCAAGTCACAACAGCTCTAATCTGCTAAGTTTAGTCCTCAAACCTTACATTCTAATGTTTGATTGATAGAAAAGTCAACATTGAACAATGGCTCCACATGTGATTGGGGTTTCATTAGTATGCGCAGGTACAAAGGAGACTCCAGCTAAGGATCGAGGCACAGGGGAAGTATTTGCAATCAGTTCTAGAGAAAGCTTGCAAGGCTATAGAGGAGCAAGCTGTTTCGTTCGCCGGGCTCGAGGCGGCTAGAGAAGAGCTCTCAGAGCTAGCCATAAAGGTCTCCAATGGGTGCCACCAAGGAACAACAAGCTCGTTCGACACGACCAAAATGAGGATTCCGTCCTTATCCGAGCTTGCAGTAGCGATAGAGCACAAAAACAACTGTTCAGCAGAGAGCTCTCTGACTTCAAGCACCGTGGGGAGTCCAGTTTCAGCTGCTTTGATGAAGAAGAGGCATCGTGGAGTGTTTGGAAACGGGGATAGTGTGGTTGTGGGTCATGAAACTGGGTGGATTATTCCTAGTAGTAGCATTGGATGAAGGTTAAAGAGAGAGAGAGCGAGAGCGAGGGAGACCAGATTTTAGCTTATTTGCTTTGTTGTATTATTTAACTCGAAACTTTGTCATCAAACCTATCTGTCTTAGTTTGTAATGTATATATTTGTTGAAGCTGTAGTGTCTCTTGTTGGAGTAAGCTTGAGAGAAGCTTAAGGAGCAAACTTCTAAATTCTTCTTTTGAAATAAGTTATATTTCCTAAAAATGTTACGGTTAGAGAAAAGGAAATTAGGAGTTATCTAATTACCTTATTCCTCTAGGTTTAGGAGTAATCTAAACATCTATATAAGGAGATGCCAATGTGTGGCATAACTTAGTTTGAGTTTTGGATCTTTAGGTTTTGAGAGAGTTTCCTAAAGTTTAATAAAAGTGAGTTTTATTAACTTGATCTTGATCAGTTTTGATATTATTTGGTATCAGAGCTTCTAGATACACGATCCAATACTTATAAACAAAGAAAGACGAACTATTCGAACGAGATGGGAGATCTGTACCCGCCGCAGGTCAACTAAAGGAGATGAGCACGTCTACAATACAATGTCCAATGTTAAACGCGACTAACTATACCGTGTGGGCAATGAGAATGCGCATATTACTCAAAGTTCACAAGGTCTGGGAAGTAGTGGAAACAGAATCAATGATACAGACAAAAACGTAATCGCCATGGCTCTGATCTTCCAGTCGATAGCTGAAGCAACCGTTTTACAAATCGGAGGACTAGATACCGCAAAGAAAGTTTGGAACGCAATCCAAGCAAAACATGTAGGAGCTGAACGAGTTCGGGAAGCCAGATTGCAGACTTTAATGGCTGACTTCGACAAACTGACGATGAAAGATACCGAAACTATAGACGACTTTAGCGGAAAGCTATCCGAAATCTGTTCGAAATCAGCAGCTCTGGGAGCATCCATTGAAGAACCAAAGTTAGTCCGAAAGTTTCTCAAAAGTCTCCCACGGAAGAAGTTCATACATATTGTGGCATCACTGAACAGGTGTTAGACCTTAACACCACTAGCTTCGAAGATATCACAGGTCGTTTAAAAGCTTATGAAGAACGTATCCAAGGAGAAGAAGGAGAAACTCAGGAGGACCAAAGCAAACTGATGTATGCAAGCACCGATTCTCAGTCAAATCGAAACTATACAGGTGAAAACAGAGGCAGAGGACGCAGAGGACGGTTTTATAACAGAGGAAGAGGTCGAGGCAGATCGAATGAAGCAAGAGATTTGTCCAAAGTAACGTGTTACAGGTGTGATAAGATGGGACATTATGCTTCAAGCTGCCCCGATAGACTGCTTAAACTCCAAGAAGCCAAAGAAACTGAAGTCAATGAAGATGACACACACGAAGGAGAAAAACTGATGATGAACGAAGTCGTGTTCCTCAACGAAAACAATGTAAAACCAGAAAGATTCGAGGCATCATCTGATGCAGACAATATTTGGTACCTAGACAATGGTGCTAGTAACCACATGTCTGGTAATCGAGATTTCTTCTCTAAGATCGACGAAACCATCACAGGCACGGTGCGGTTTGGTGATGATTCCCGCATTGATATCAAAGGCAAAGGATCCATATTGTTCGTGACCAAGAATGGTGAAAGAAAGATCCTTGCAGATGTTTATTTTATACCAGGTCTCAGGAGCAATATCATTAGTTTGGGGCAGGCCACCGAGTCAGGGTGTGATGTCCACATGAAAAGGGATCACCTAACTCTACATGGAAGTGATGGCAAGCTCTTAGTAACAGCAAAGAGGTCAAGAAATCGATTATACAAATTTCATATGGATGTGGAAAACAACAAATGTCTGCAACTTACAACACTGAGTGATTCAGCCAAATGGCATGCAAGACTAGGACATGTTGGACTAGAAGCAATGAAGACTATGATCAAGAAGGATCTAGTCACGGGTATACCAAGCATTACTGTCGAGAAAGAGACTTGTTCTGCGTGTCTGCTCGGTAAACAGACGAGAAAATCTTTTCCTCTTGCCAGTTCATATCGAGCAACAAACCTACTTGAGCTGATTCATGGGGACCTCTGTGGACCTATTTCGCCAGCTACAGCAGCACTAAATAGATACATCTTTGTATTAATAGATGATCACTCGAGGTATATGTGGTCTCTTCTGCTAAAAGAAAAAGGGGAAGCATTCAGCAGATTCAAGAAGTTCAAGCAAGTTGTCGAGCAAGAAACTGGGGTTAAGATTAAAACCCTTCGAACTGACAGAGGAGGCGAGTTCATGTCTCAGGAATTTCAAGATTTCTGCGACAATACAGGCATAATAAGACACTTGACAGCTCCGTATTCTCCTCAACAAAACGGAGTAGTCGAAAGACGAAACAGAACTCTCTTAGAGATGACAAGGAGCATCATGAAGCATATGAATGTTCCCAATTACTTATGGGGTGAAGCTGTTCGACACGCAACTTATCTCATAAACAGAACAGCAACTAAAACCTTGATTTCGCAGACCCCATATGAGTCGTTTAAGGGGAAGAAGCCGAACATCGAGCACTTAAGAGTATTTGGGTGCATTGGATATGCAAAAGTGACAACACCTCATCTGAAAAAACTAGACGACAGATCACAAATCCTCATTCATCTAGGAACAGAGCCCGGTTCGAAAGCCTATAGGCTATTAGAACCGAAAAGCAAGAAAATAATTGTAAGTCGCGATGTGACCTTACGATGAAACAAAAGGATGGAGGTGGACCAGTTCAAGGAGTGAACTTTGCAATGAAAGAGATGGTATCGGAACATTCACCGTAACCTCGTGAGAGAATAAAACAGGGGATGACGAAACAGAGGAGATAGGGAATGAACAGAGTATCGACAATAATAATCTAGCTGACGAAGGAGATGAACCTATGGATAATCTCGAGTTCGAAACTAATGCGGAGCAAGAACAGGGAACACCTGCTCTCAGAAGATCAACTCGTACACGAAAACAGCCGGAATATCTAGCCGACTTTATCCTTATGGCAGAACTCGATGGTGAAAAACTTTTGCTCGCAATAAATGAAGAACCATGGGACTACAGCGAAGCAAAAGAGCTACAAGTCTGGAGAGATGCATGTAAGGAAGAAATCTCCTCAATAACCAAAAACAGAACTTGGAGCTTGGTTGATCTTCCTGCAGGAGCAAAAGCAATCAGACTTAAGTGGGTATTTAAAATCAAACACAATTCGGATGGGAGCATAAATAAGTACAAATCGAGAATGGTTGCAAAGGGATACGTACAGAAGTATGGAGTGGATTTCGACGAGGTCTTTGCCCCAGTAGCCCGCATTGAAACAATCCGCTTCATCATCGCATTAGCAGCTTCAAACAAGTGGGAAGTTCACCATCTCGATGTAAAAACAGCTTTTTTACATGGTGAACTAAAGGAGGAAGTTTATGTGCAGCAACCAGAGGGATTCGTGATTAAAGGCAATGAAAGTAAAGTATACAAGCTACACAAAGCTCTCTATGGACTTAGACAAGCACCTAGGGCTTGGAACAACAAGCTAAACCAGATCCTTCAAAAACTGAAATTTGACAAGTGTTCAAAAGAACCTTCGTTATATCGGAAGAATGACAAAGGATTACTTCTTGTGGCTGTATATGTAGACGACTTGCTCGTCACAGGATCGAGTTTGGAAGAGATACTTGAGTTTAAAAGGAATATGTCTGAATGTTTTGAGATGAGCGATCTAGGACGTCTGACATATTATCTTGGAATTGAAGTGGTACAGCAGAAGAATGGTATCACATTGAATCAAGGACGATATGCAAAAATAATTCTTGAAGAAAACGGCTTGGACGAATGTAATGCTGTTCACATACCGTTGGATTCAGGATTAAAGTTGTGCAAGGCACAGGAAGAACGAAGCATTGATGAAAAGAAGTATCGAAGGAACATAGGGTGTTTACGATACTTACTTCATACGAGACCAGATCTTTCATTCTGTGTAGGAGTACTTAGCAGGTACATGCAAGATCCAAAAGAATCACATATTAAAGCTTTGAAGCAAGTTTTAAGGTATCTTCAAGGAACCTTAAACTATGGTTTGAAGTTTGAAGGAGCAAATACTTCTGGTCTAGTCGGATACAGTGACAGCAGTCATAATGTTGACCTAGATGATGGAAAGAGTACATCAGGCCACATATTTTACCTCAATGAGTGCCCCATAACTTGGTGTTCACAGAAGCAAGAGACTGTTGCTTTATCTTCTTGTGAGGCGGAATTCATGGCTGCAACAGAAGCAGCTAAACAAACGATTTGGTTGCAGGAACTACTCGAAGAGGTCACCGGATCAGGATGCAAGAAGACGGTGGTGCGGATTGATAATAAATCAGCAATTGCCTTGACTAAAAATCCAGTGTTTCACGGTAGAAGCAAGCACATATATAGGAGGTACCACTTCATTCGGGAGTGTGTCGAAAATGAGCAGATATCGGTTGAACATGTTCCAGGAACAGAGCAGAAAGCTGATATTTTGACCAAAGGACTTAGCAGGATTAAGTTTAAAGAGATGAGAGATCTTATTGGAGTCAAAGAGGTGATCCAAAGTGACTTCAAGCTTAAGGGGGAGATTGTTGGAGTAAGCTTGAGAGAAGCTTAAGGAGCAAGCTTCCAGATTCTTCTTTTGAAATAAGTTATATTTCTTAAAAGTGTTAGGATTAAAGAAAAGGAAATTAGGAGTTATCTAATTACCTTATTCCTTTAGGTTTATGAGTAATCTAAACATCTATATAAGGAGATGCCAATGTGTGGCATAACTTATGAGTTTGAGTTTTGGATCTTTAGGTTTTGAGAGAGTTAAGTTTAATAAAAGTGAGTTTTATTAACTTGATCTTGATCAGTTTTGATATTATCTCTTTTAGTCTTGGTGTGTTATATCTTCATCTTTGTTTGCTCCTTAGATATTTATTCCTACAACTATTGCCTATTCGAGGGAAAAGGTAAAAGGGAAAGAAAAGGCGGGAGTGTACTAAAATTATACTCCAACACCTCCAACACCAGTTTCACATCTCGATTCATCATATCATCCTTGAGTTAGTATTCATCGTATTTGGAGATTTTGGATCTAACTTAAGGTTTCTCATACTACGCGTTTTCCATGATTCGTTTTCAAATCCATCTGTGCGATTTGACTTGTGAAGAGCTGAAACATGAGATGTATCTAA